CGGGGAGAGGTCGCGGTTTCTTCCGGGCCAACGCCAAGGCCGGGAGGGTTACCAAGCCCTGCGGCCCGTTTAGTCTGTCGCACCCCTTCCCTCTCCCCACCCCCTCCGGAACGACGCAGATGTTAAACGGTTCCTCCTGCTTGGGGACTTGGCGGCGGGGGCTGCCCCTGAACTTGGCCCGGCGGCGGTGGGGGTGATGCCACGGACCGTAGTCTTTGTGAGCTGAGCGTGACGGGATCTTTGCATAACTTTAAAAGGGGAAGGGACCCTACCTGCGAACTCCCCGGGCGGCAGGAAGCAGATGACCGAGCCCCCGGAACTCCCCCCTGCCCAGCTCTCTGCGCGCGAATCTAATGCCTGATCTCTAGCGATCCGAGGTGGAGAGAAAGCCAGAGAAGTGCTCACTGGCGACCCGTAAACAGTACGGGGACCTCCAGAAGGGAAGGCAGGAAACTGCCCGAGAGGGAGGGAGGGAAATGGGCAGGGAAGGAGACTTCCTTTAGGGTCTGGACGCTTTTGTCCTGCCTGCATTTTGTTACCCTGTGTAGCGATCACCTGTCAAAAGGACCCGGGCATACTGCAGGGAGAAGCGCACCTGATAGGGACAACCTGACTGTTCTGTGCTGATGGTTGTAGGGATGGGCTACCAGTTGTTTGTCCAAAGGGTTTAGAAAGAGGATTGGCCTGCTCCGTAAGAAGGGAGTGCCCCCATTCCTGACAGCCACCACCTCCACGACCTAACTGATGTAGTTGGAAAATGGTGATAAAAACACCGAAGACAGGCAGACGTGTGGTACCCCCGGGAGATCTGGGATCAGAATGGAGCCGGGCTCCCAAAGCTGGGGTGGTCTGTGCCTCATCCCCCTTGGGGTCTTTGGTAGGCTGGGTTGGGATTCTCTTGGCCCCCGGAGGGTGAGGTGACCAAGCAGCCTCAGGGCTGGCCGGTGTGGCATAGAGGAAGCCGCCGGCCTCTGCATTTCAGCCCGGCTTGCCTGTTGCCCAGGAGAGAGGAATTGAAACTCTGTTTGCTGAGCTGTGAATCGAGAGCCTGCTGCATTTGCGTCTCTCAAAACGACCCTTGTCTGCAGTTAGGCTGTCTTAGGAGAGCTCTTGAGAGCCTGCACATGCTTGGGAATTTCCGAGAAAAGTGCAGCAAACACCCCAGCTTCTTCCTCTTTGGAGCTTTAAAGCCCCAAGCTCCTTTGGACTGACATGTGAAGTGCTCGAGAGTGTGCTTCCTGAGCACCATTCACGGTTCCTAGGTGTGCTTGTTGGCTGCCTCCGTTCTTTGTATTACCGCTTGCTCCCCTCGGTGCTGGCCCTTCGAGAGGGTCTTGGTGGGTTGCTCAGCCCACCCCCACCTCGCAGTGTCTCCGAACAGAAATGGTCAGCCCCAGTAGTATGGAACTGGAGGAGAATTTTGCCATCCTGAGCTATTCTTGGGCTGCTACCAGCTTAGAGTGGCTGTTAACATTTTTACAAGACTGAATGCGGTCTCCAATGTTAAAATGATAGGAAACTCCGCTTTCACTGCCCATAGAGTTTGCTCTTGTTTTATTCCGATTGAGCTTGCTTGAAAGACAGCCATGCTCACTAGAAAATACTTGGTTTAAACACTCAAAGCACTCACATGTCCTCTTACTATCTGTGAGTGCTCTCGTTCCAGCACAGGGACAGGCATGAGGAGCAGCGACAGAAACCAGAGGACCCAAAGCATTCACTCTCCAGCCCTTTTCCAGAACAAAAATTGACAACCCCCAGCCTAGAACTAGCAGCCCACTTGGCCTTTCCATGTCTGTCTCTGGCATCGGAGGAAGGGAGCAGGAGCCCTGCCAGCGCCTCAGTGGCTTTTGTCCCCGTTAGGGCCGCAGAGTGGCAGCTGGAGCAGCCGTCATGGAGTGGCCGGCTACGGATCACTGCACAAGGGCAGGTGGCCTACATCAAGCTGGAGGACAGGACCTCAGGTAATGGCAGGGGAGGCCTGCGGGGCTGGGCGCACGTCCCGCTCTGCCAAGGGCCAGGCAGCTGGAGCCTGGCCAGGCCGCTTGAGTCCCGGGAACCTGTTCTGGAAGCCATAGGTCCTGGCGCCCTTTTACACCTGGGGACAGGTATAAAAGGTGGTATTCTCGGACCAGGAATGCTAGCTCCTTTTTGGAGGCCTCAGGAAAATGCTAGAGGAGCCCTGTAGACCTCGCCCAGGACTGGGGGGAAGGCGCTCAACCCTCTCCTCCCTAGAATGCCAACTCCCCAGGTGTGGTCCCCCTGACTGCAGGAGCTGGAGACCCTCCCCGAGGCTCTCCCATGAGAGGACGAGCCTGTCTGGGTTTGGTCAGCTGGCAGTTGTTCACTTTAGGGAAATCTTGTCAGAAGTCGTGTGTCACGGGTGCCCCTGGGTGAGCTATGCAGAAGGGCCAGGCACTGCCTGCCTGGTCTGGCCTCGCACGGGCCATATTTTTATTCTGGACAGCCCTTCCTTTGTGAGGCAGAAGAAGGGACGGAGCTTCTCAACAGTCTATGCAACAAGCAACATCAGCCACAGTTTTCTCACTCAAAGTGCTGAGGTTCATGCTTTCACCCATGATGTCTCTTGTGGGCCTTTGATAAAAGCCAGCTCAGGGACAGGACTCTGGCCGGGAGAATTGACAGATGTTCAATATGATGTCATAAAGGAATATGGCAACACTTCCGAGCCTCTCGGGGCCCCAGGGACACTGACTTTCATAGGACCACCTAGTGCAGCGGTTCTCAATCTGTGTGTCTCGATCCCTTTGGGAGTCAAACGACCCTTTCACAGGGGTGGCCTGATTCATAACAGTAGCAAAATGACAGTGGTGAAGAAGCAACGAAAATAATTTGTGATTGGAGGCCACCACCACGTGAGGACCTGCATGAAAGGGTGGCAGCCTGGGGAAGGTTGAGGACCCCTGTGCTAGTGTTTCCTCCACAGGACCCGCTTTCATCGCTCTCAGCCCACAGTCTCGCCCACTGGACCACGCTGTGCGCCCACTTTCCAAGATAATGGGTGTAATCAGCTGGGGCCAGCCTTTCTCGCCTCCGCCCACCCTAGTGACATTGGTCCGAGAGTCTGGGATGGGCCCGCCCTGTGTATTACCGGATGTTTCGCAGTATCCCCGATCTACTCACTAGATGCCAGGGGCCCTCCCCCAAGTTGTGGCAATCAAAATGTCTCCAGCTCTTGCTGCCTAGGGAGGCGGTGGGGGCGGATAAAGCCCTCCTGGGTGAGAACCGTTGGCAGCCCAAGGTGCCCAGGCCCCTGGACCCAAAACAGGGCTGAGACATTCATCAAAAGCTTCGGGCTCCAGCCCTCGGGTTGGGTTTTGATTCGGTTCTGCTCTGGTTGCAGTCACTGCTGAACCACAGGACCCGTAGAAAGCACGTGGTTAAACCCTGGCAGTTGCAGCGAGGCCAGCTCGCGGGAACCCATGATAGCTGATGCAGGTGCAGCAGTGCGCTGTAGAACCAGTTGGCCTCCTGCTGCTGCCAGGGTGAAGTCGGCGCTGCAGGCTCTCCGTGGGCAGGGGCACTTCCTCCTCTCACAGCACCCCTTAGAGCCCTGTCTCCCGTCCCAGGTAGATGTGATTTACCTAAGCCAGGGCCAGCCTAAGAGCCCTGGTGGCGTAGTAGTTACGAGTGGAGCTGCTAACCACAAGGTCAGCTGTTCGAAACCACTAGCGGCTCAGTAGGAGAAAGACAAGGCTTTCTACTCCTGTGAAGAGTTACAGCCTCAGAAACCCACAGGAGCAGTTCTCCTCTGCCCCTACAAGTTAGGGTCACTGTGAGGTGGAATCAGCTCAATAGCACAGTTTTAAATGAAAGTAAGACCCTAAGAACTTGTCTGCAGCCATCTGTTGGATGCAGACAGATGTGGTTGTAGGGGGGACCAGCCCCCCACCACTAATCACAGGTTTGATAGGCACAATTATATAGTTGAGAGAGAGAGAGAGGAATCTCTATTGGTAACCCAAGCCTATATACCTATGGGGGCAAGCCCACTAATTGCAGGTAAAGACATATGTCACAGGAAGGGGTTGCCTTATAGGTTATACAGCAGTGAGAGGGGGCCAGTCTAGGGACATTCACATTTGCGCAATAGGAAGAGGAGGGGTTGGGAGTATACATGTGACAAGATGGGCAGATCCTAGATTCAGGATGGCAGCTTAACTTTGGATGGCATGGAGCTGCTTTGATCTGTTCTCTGGATCTCCAGAAGAACCATTATCAGTAGGGTGTAAACCCCACCTACAGAAAGCAAGCTAATGGGTGAGACAGCAGTCTGGTCTGGCGGCTGATTGCCTCAAGGGAAATAACTTTTATCATTAGCTGCAAGCAGTGTCCTAAGTCTAACATATTTGGGAGAAATTTTTCTGTTTCCCACAGACAGAGGTGGGCCTAAACATGTGTTTGGAATAAACGCGTGCATTTGTGAATTAGAACACTAGCAGCAGTACATTTTGACCTACCCCCATGTGGATGGATGGTCTGGATTGAATTGTGTTCCTCCAAAATGTGTCGCGGGTATGACAGCGTTTGGGAGTGGATTGTGCTTGTGTGATGTGCATGAGGCAGGCAGGATGAGGTACCTGGAGGTAGCCTCTTTTGAGAGGGGATAGATTCAACCAGCAAACTAGCAAGCAGAGAGGGGGAAGAGAGAAGCTGAGCCCTGAGAAGATCACCCAGGAGCAGAAGCTCAAGAGAGACGGGACCCTCCGTTCAGACTTCTAGGCTATGAGAAAACACACTTGTGTTTGCTCCAGCCGTGCACTGTTGGTATTTCTGTCCCAGCAGTACCAGGGAACTTCGGCTGTGAGCTTGTGTTGTTATGATTGTTAGTTTCAAGTGCTCAGCAGATACGCCCCCAGGGTTCCTACATGGGGGGTACTTGGGGCAGGTTCCAGTGACTACCTCGGGGTGGTCACCATGTTCCCGTGCACCAGGCTGGAGAAGTTAGGCCTTGGCCCCCAGGAGAAGCCAACTCCACAAGAAGCTGACTCGAGTTCTGGGCCCAAGGAAGATATATAATTTCAATCCAACAGACTGAAAATGGTTTTGATTTATTTATAAATGAGACACACACCCCACCACCACCACCCCCTCCTCCCACCCACCCCCTCACCCTTGACCGAAGGCCAGTGTGGAAGAGGACAACATGGCGAAGAAAGTTAGTCATATTGGGGCATAATTCATTGTATCCCATTGGTTGCTCTCTCGAGATATTTTTATAGCCCTTGATAAAAATACTTTTAAATAACTCCGTGTCTTGGCTCTGTGGCCTTGATTACATTCTGCGAGCTGTGCAGCCTCAGGCGCCTGCCTTTTCCAAGTCCTCTGCCTCCCGTCAACCCACCGCCAGCGAAGCTGCCTGCCTGCTCTTCAGCGTTTCTGATGCCAGAGCTTCTAATTTGAGGAAACCCGGAAATGTAGGTTCGTTCACATGGAACCCTATGTGAAGGAACCTTGTCGTCCACTGCCTACGTAGTAGGCTGTTGATAGATAGGTGGCCAGTTCAAACCCACCAGCCGCCCCCAGAAGATGAGGTTGTTGTTGCTGTAAAGGTTTACAGGCTTGGGAGCCCTATGGAGGCAGTTTGGAATCTACAGCAGTAAGTTGTTTGGTTTTTTTTAATGTCAAAGTATTTGAAATAAATGAAACAAAAAACATTACAACTGCACAGTAATGGGAGTCATGACTCCCTGAGAATACAGGAAGGGGTGGGGGTGGGGGGGTGACTGATAGCAACAATGACTGCACAACCCCATTCAAAGGAAACGAGCATCAGCATTTCAGGTGAGTGGATACATGGGATGCTGCAAGTTACAGTAGAAATCATAACAATAATAATAATCTACTGTATGAAGGGTTCTTCCTTGAGCAAGACTGGATTTGATTGGATTCCTGGAGTGAGGCTGGCCTGGTGGGTGCCACAGCCAGCTCAGTAGTGGGGTGGTGGTGCTAGGCTGGCTGATGGGGCTGACGGCTGTGTGCTTTCAGGGGAGCTCTTTGCTCAGGCCCCAGTGGATCAGTTTCCCGGCACAGCTGTGGAGAGTGTGACCGACTCCAGCAGGTACTTCGTCCTCCGCATCGAAGATGGGAATGGTAGGTGTGGGTCTCGCACCTCCCTCGGCCCCACTCGGCCCAGGGAATGTGGGCTTGATCAAGTGTTGTCCCCCAGGGCGACGGGCCTTTATTGGAGTTGGCTTCGGGGACCGAGGTGATGCCTTTGACTTCAATGTTGCCTTACAGGACCATTTCAAGTGAGTGGTCCCCGGAGGCACCTGCTCGTGCTATCTCTCCCTTCCCTGGATGCAGTGCCTTCCCAGGTCCAGATGCCTGGGTGGTTTCTCTACTCCCAGACAGGCCGCCTTCTCTTCCAGGCAGGTCCCTCTCCACTCAGCTAGTCCCCCAAGGCCCTCTTACTTAGCTGGCACCGTGACGGTGCCCTCACTTCTGCCCTGAGTAGCCGGAACCCAGCCCCGGCCCCTGTTGCCTTCCCAGCTGCTCTCCGTGAAATAGGATGTGGTAGGATTCCCAGCCACCCGACAGTCACCCTGGCAGTGCTTTTAGTGTGCCTCCCTTGGGAGGTGCCCTGCCATCACGCAGGCAGCCCTGCCTCTGCCCTGGCGGCAGCTGGGTGCTAGCTTTATGGAGGGCAAAGGGGAGACCTTTATGATAGGCTCCATTTCTGAGCACCTGTCTAGGCTCTTCAGCTTCCTTCTGAGCCGGTGGGGTGGGGTGGGGGAGAGACCTTGTCTTAGTTCTTAAGCCAGGTGTTGGGTAGGCCCAGGGGGTGTGCTTGCACCCTCCGCAGGAATGGTCTCCTTGAACTGTCATTGCGATTCTTAAGGCAGAATTGTCATCCATTTTGGTGATGTGGAGGCTGAGGTGCACGTAACTGTCAGAGCCAGGATTTGAATCCAGGCCTAACTTCTGACCTCTACGCCTACCCCCTGCCTCAAGGTACAGAGAAGGAAAAGTGCGCCAGCCTGGACTAGTGGCAGGTGGTGAGTGGGTGCAGCTGACCTCGTCTTCTTTCTTCACCTTCCTTCTCCGCTTCTTCCCCAGGTGGGTGAAGCAGCAGTGTGAATTTGCCAAACAAGCCCAGAACCCAGACCAAGGCCCCAAATTAGACCTGGGCTTCAAGGAGGGCCAAACCATCAAGCTGAACATTGCGGTGAGTCTGTCCCTGGCTTAGCTCTGTTGGCCATAGTCACATGATTGCATGGACACTGGTCACCAAACCAGCCTGGCTGATCCCATCAGAATTCAGTCCCGTCCAGTCGGGACCTGCCTTGTACCTGGCCCACTCTGGTGAGGTGAGCACGTGTGGCTTGGTGCTCTTGTGGGGCTTGGCGTTGAGCTGGGACGGGCGTGGAAGGGTGGGATCACAACCTGGCAGGAGCCGTTCTGTGAACAAGGGAATCCACAGACGGCCTCCTGGGAGAGGTGATGTGTAAACAGGGAGCTGGGGGTGGGGACGCCTGTCCCTTTCCCCCTGGCTGCTAATGTTGGTCAGTGGGAGTTGGGACGCTGCTCACGCCCAGCTGGGTCTTGGCCTGGGGCTATGGGCGAGGAGCCATCCTGGTGGGTGCTGGTGAAGGGCCAGTGCGTCCTTGATCAGGGGACATCATGGGCAGAGTAGCTTCTGCGGACAGTCTCTCTCAGACTCCTTCTGTCCCCGTTTTGAGCTGCCCTGTCCTGTGCATGGCTTTCCCTCCTCCGCACCTGGCATGCTGCCCCTGGTCCCTCTGAGGTCAAGCGAAGGGTGAGCACCTTGGTTGCCAAGATGGACTGGACTGCAAGGGCTGGGCTGGGAGCTGAGCTGAGTCAGCCCTCATTTGAGGGAGGCAAGGATCCGGTGGCTTTGTTTTACGAAGAAACTATAACCCTAAAACCATGTTCCTCCTCTTTATTTACTGTCTCTTTCTCCTCTCTTCTGCTTCATGCTGCTGATGATTTGGGACCCTTGAAGTTGGCCAGCTGGCCCTTAAAGACAATGCGGGTCAAATCCCGTGGACTGGTTGGGATGTGATGGTTGGTCTCACTGGAACAAACACTTACTGAGCGTCCTCCGCGGACCAGGTAGTGCTTACAGATCCTTTCTCGTTTGAATGAAATCTCCTCCCCGTGTAGCCGAGGAGAGGCCCGTGCAGAGCGTGAGCAATAGCTGGGTGGCTGGATTTGCATGGAGATCTTTGAGGTCCCCGGTCTTCACTTGATGAAACTCCTGCTTCCCTCAAATTGGGAACCATGTCGCCTTCCTCCCTGAACCTGGTTCTGGTATCCGACTCCAGCTTGGTTGGTTTGTTTTTTTAACCTTTTATTTGAAGTAGAATAAAATACATGCAAAGTACCCAGATCAGAAAGGCATGTAAACCACCCAGGGTGAGAAGCAGAGTACTTGGAGCGGGCAGCCCCTCTCCGACTCTGCTTACCCCGAGAAACCGCCAGCCTGACTTTGAATACACTAGGTGTTACCAGTTTGGGGGCTTTATTTTGATCGGTTCATGCATTGGTTTATTTTTAAACTGTCTGCTGTGAGTCGGGTGAAGGTTCACAGAGTAGCGCATTCAATGCCTCACACAATTGTTTCATCTCCTGGACTGCAGTCCCCTCACCACCTCGACCCTCTCCCCACTCCCTGGGTTTCTGGTCCGTTCCTCTGTCTGTCTAGGCTCACCCTCCTGAGGCTGGTCCTTGGGTAAGCGCTGCCTTTTGATGATCCATCCATAGCAGGTGTGCTTATCTCCCTAGTGTACCGTTCCCCATAGATTAGAGACCTGTCTATTGTTGGTCTGAACATTGAGCCCCTGGGGTGAGTTCATCTTCAGCCTGAAGGGTGACGGAGGTCCCAGGGTCTGTCTGAGCAATGAGCCTGTCTGATTGTGATCCCTCGCAGAGCAGCTGCTGGTGGTGGGCAGAAATGCTCTGATTCTGATCTCTGGGTCGTGGAGCCTGGTGTTCCCAGGGCGCATCAGTCCCTCGGATGGTTCCCGTGTGTCTTCTGACCCCGCCACTCCAGGCGGGGAGAGAGCGGTGGTTGGACCTTAGGTGACCTCAGTTGCTACTCACCAAAGGAGGATGTGGAACGTTGTCTTGGTGGACTCTCTTATGTCACTTGACTTTGGTGGCCCCCAAGACGATGGCCCTGCTCCCCCAGGCCCAGCGACTCGTTGCCCTCAGGGTTGTGTGGCTATGGCTAACAAGTGTTCGTGGCTTTGCCCCCTGTGTGCCCGAGCCACCCGTTTCTGAGTTGGTTCATACACTGCACACCCTCTTGTTTGGGGAGAAGTTGGTATTGCTCCTGGGGTTCCAGCTCACACCTGTGCAGGCTTATTCCACACAAAGCCCATGTAGACGGGTCTCCACGTTCTGTGGAGGGAGGGCTGCAGACTCGCTCTCAGCCATTGACCCCACTGGTCTTCCTTGGTCCGCTCGGAGCCTTCTGAAAAGTCCAGTCCAACAGTTGCAGATCTGCTGGAGTCACTGCAACTCCAGGCGGAGAGGTCAGCCCAGAAGGTCATGGACGCTGTTCTGGGAGCATCCTGAAGGGGCTCACTTGATAGGATTTTCCCATATGACATATCTTGGGAGCTTAATAGGAAGCTGGTTTAAGAAAAGTGAGGGCCGCGTTGGCAAGGAACATGCCAGGAGAGTTGTGTCAAGGAAGTGCTTTCCATCGTGACGGTGTCCTTGCGTCCTGGCGTCCGTTCTTCCAGGGAAGCAAGGGCTGGGCCTGTGGGAGCTTGGTTGGAAACCCCCTCCCACTAGTCAGTCCACAGCCTGGTCTTGCCCTTTCGGACTGCTTTCTGTTCCCAGGGCTCACGGAACATGTCAGGGGGGTGCAATCAGAGTCCCTCGAGAATGCCCAAACCACGCTGTGGGTGTGGTGTCCGTGGAAGAGTGCCCAGTGCTTTGGGGAAAAGGCTCCCTTCCGAAGTGGACCAGCCTGGCCGGCGAGAGCCGGGAGACGCGTCCTGGTGTGGTGGTTGGTTTCCCAGGGTCTCCGTGGTTCTGCAGCAACACTTGGCGACTCACCCTCGTCCACGACTTTCCTCCTCGTGCCCGTCAGCCGGATTGCTGGGTGCGGTTATTGGTATTCCTGGCTCTGCCATGTCCCGTGGGGAGAATACACCCAGTTTGTCTATCCACTTTACCGACAGTGGACCCTGGCGGGTGGGGAGCATTTGGAGCACTTACTTTTTTCTTTATTAATCATTTTATTGGGGGGCTCTCACAAATCTTGTGGCAATCCATCATTCAGTTGTATAAAGCACCCTTGAACATATGTTGCCATCAACATTTCCAAAACATCTTTTTTCTACTTGAGCCCTTGGAATCAGCTCCTCTCTTTTCCCCGCCCTCCCCCCTCTTCGTGAACCCAGGATCAGTGAAATACTGTTGCTGTGATTTCAGTGTCTTAAGCTGTCCGTTGTCTCCCTTCGTGGAGCGCTATCTAACAGCAGGGCTGTGAGTGTGTGAGGCCATGGCCTTTGGTGCACATGTGTCCATGTGTCTGTGGTGGGGTCAGAGTTTAGCATTCCCCTTGGCTGAATTCTTCCAGGTGGTTTTCCAAGTCTGCACGCCCAGCAGCCATGTGGGTGTTCTGGTGCCCCCATCCTTCTCGGGCCTGAGGATCTTCATCGTGGCCACTCTGGAGGGCATGGGATGGCGCTTCGTTTTGATTTGCAGTCCCCGTGATGATAAGCAGAGTCAGTCGCTGGCTCTTGAAAGCGTCTTCCGACAGCTTTCTAACATGCGACGGCGTGGAGGGCTGTGGACCATCTTGGTTAGGCAGTCACCTGGCCTCTCCTTGTGAGGACCCCACAGAACGGAGTGGTGGCCTTCCTCTCTCTAGAACATGAAGAAGAAGGACGGGGCCTCCGGCATGCCCCGAGCCCGGCCTGCCAGCACCGGGGGCCTGAGCCTGCTTCCTCCTCCTCCCGGGGGCAAAGTCTCCACCCTCGTCCTGCCCTCCAGAGAGCAGCCGGCTGTTGGAGAGTCCCTGGCTCCCAGTTCAGGTCAGTGCCCAGTGACTGTCGACCAGTGCCACTGAGTCGGTTCTGACAACTGTCTGCCGACGTGTGTGTCCGAGGAGAGCTCTTCCCCGTAGGATGGTCAAGGGCGGTGTTTGAAAGAGTAGGTCACCAGGCCTTTGTTCCCAGGCGCCTCTGGGGGGACTCGGCCCTCCAGCCTTTGCAGCTAGTACCGTATGCATTGTCTCGCAGAGGAGGTCATAGGACAGCTGCTGAGCTTGGGGATGGAGGGCCAGGAATCTGCATTTTCGCTGTGCTCCCTGCAGAACTTGATGCCCACTGAAGTCTGGGTGCCAGCAGCCCTGGTCGCTAGTGTTTCTTTATACTAACAGCTTTCTCTTGCAGTGGTTGGAAATAGGCACGGGCATACTCCAGTTTGAGTTTCCACCTGTACATTCTCCGACTTCGATTATGTTTCTTTGAGCTGTACAGCCATGTTCACCTGCCGTTTCCACGCTGCCCTCCCCACTGCTGAGCTTTTGATGCTGGGGACCCTGCACCAATCCCTGCCCCCCAGGCTTGGAGTCCCCAGGCAAATGGTTTCAGATGACAAGTCCGGAATAGCTGACCTTTGTTGAGCACTTCTGCCTGCTCCGGAGCCTTAGAGGCATAGTGGTTACCTGTTGGACTGCTAACTGGCAAGGTCGGCAGTTCAAAACCACCAACCACTCCTTGGGAAAAAATGAGGCTTTCTATTCCGGTAAAGAGTTCTAATCTCAGGACCCCACAGGGGCATTTCTACCTTGCCCAGAAGGGTCTTGATGAATCGACCCGATGGCCCCGAGCTCGTTTACTTTGTTGTGCTTTTCTGCGTGCTCCCGAACTGCCCCGTTCACATCTTGGGGACCTTCGGGAAGTGATGCCTCAGGCATAGGTTTCTCGTGGGGATACAGAGACACGTGTCTAGAGCACTGGAATGCCCACTAAACGTTAGCTGCATTTTGTGGATACTCGCATCCTTGTCACTGACCTGCCTGAGGCTCTACATATATTCACTCATCTGACCCTCCGTCCAGGCCTCTGCAGTTGCCCTGGTCTTGTACCCGCCCCACCCCATTTTAGAGATGAGGAAACAGACTGAAGGGGCCTGCATGAGGTCACACACCTCGCCCCCTCTTTCCCAGGGCTGGTGGTGAGGCGCAAATGAGTCAGTCGGTGTCAACCACATGGTGAACTGTAGAATCCAGTCTGTCGAGAGCCTGCTTTTACCCAGCCGCCCAGCCCAGGGTCAGAGCAGCAGCAAAATGAGGGAGACAGAGTCCCAGGCACAGGGTGTTCAGAAGCGATACTTGGCAGCCCTGCGGGAGCTGCCAGGCAGCACTGTCCACTGCTCGGTCACTCCTGAGAGGCCCTTCCTAGCCCCTACACCGGCTAGCTGGCACTGCATGTCGGGACATCCGCTCAGCGGCTGCTCATGAGGATGGCCTGTGGATTGGGTGGGCATTCTCCATCCAAGAAACCGGGACAGTGAGGACCAGGTTTTTGACTGATTTCAACATAAACGGTTGAAAATAGGTCTGAGCGGTGTGAGCATGTAGCTCACCTCACTGCCACACCTCCCTCCTGCAGCTGTGTGTGGCCCTTGGCCTTTTCCCCAGAAGTCTCTGGGACTGGTGAGAAGCAGGGGAAGCGTGGCAGCTCATTGGTGCTCTCTCGTCCCCAAATACATTTCACCTGGCCTCATGGCCTGATTGGGGTACCCTGGGGACAACCGATGAAAAAGAGATCTTTGACTCTTCTTCCTTCCCACCCCTCACCATCAATAGGAGGAGGTGCCACCGTGTCCTGGCCGCAGCCCAAGGCTGCCACCGCTGATGTCTGGGGCGACTTTACCAAGTGCACAGGGTGAGGAGGATCGAGTTCTCCTGGTGGGACGGGTGAGGGCTGCTTCTCTCCCATCTGGCTGGTTGGGCCTTTTCAGGGTATCCAGAGCACTGGGCCCCAGGGAAGTGTGTGGCTGCTCTCCCTGCAAACCTTCCCAGTCCTTTGAACCACTCACAGCCGTGGCTGCTTGTCCTCAGTGCGTCCCTCTCCCTGTGCCCCAGAACACCAACCTGAGAGCTAGAGGGCCTGCCTGGCCACCTGCGTGGGCCCCCTGCATGGAAGCTCCGCTAGTTCTCTGGCCCTTCCTGGCGCCATAAAATATCAAGCCTTCCTTTGAAGTCAGGGTGAAGAGATGCCAAATTCCTGTTTCACTATTGTACATACGAGGGGGCTGCAAGGAAGGTTTGTGGCAAAATCCCATGATCTTTTAATTCACCATTTCCACAAATGATTTGAAGCCCCCTCACAGATGCTCTGGGCCAGGGACCAGCAGACATTTCCCATCAAGGACCAGCTAGCAAATCTCTTAGGCTTAGGGGGCCATATAGTCTCTGTTGCAACCAGTCAGCAAGTTGTAGCATGAAAGTCGCCACAGACAAGTAAGTGAATGCATGGGCATGCGTGTACCAATAAAACTTTATTTGCAAAAACAGGCAGAGGGCCCAATTTGTCCTGTGGACCATGATTTGCTGACCCCTACTCTAGAACATTCTGAGCGAAAAGATAACTTTTATCTGTTTTGCATCTTCAAGCCTTTGACACCCCCACGCCCCCCTGTCTTCCTTTTGACAGGTCAGCGTCCGGCCAGACTCAGCCGGGCACGGACTGGGTGCAGTTCTGAGCAGTGCACCCGCCTCCCTCTGACAGCTTCAGCAAAGGAGGCGCCGCATCGGGACGGCAAAGCACTAGCTGCTGGAAGGTGGAGCCCGACTCTCCCCTCAAGCCTGGCTCCTCTAACAGGCTGGCACCTGGCACTCTGTCACCCAGTGCCTGGGCCCCCTGTGTGATGAGGACACACACTGAGGAGAACTGCTCCCGGAGCCCCTCTCCTCCGTGCTTTTGCCACGAGCGGCTGAGACTTGAGCCCTCCGGTCAGCGACCGTATTAAACACAGGCCTCAAGAGCAAAAGAAGGGCTCGAGTGTGCTGTCTGCATCCAGTGGCCTCGTCCCCGTGTGGAGGGACACCTCTTGCACCCCCATGGGCTATGGCCACTTAAGATGTCGTGGCTGGAGGGAAATCAGTACTAAGCAGCTTTTTATTCCCTTGGTAATATTTGCTTGCTTTGCAAATATGCTGATCTGCACTAACTCCTTGACTTTGCACGGGCCTGGAGGCATTCCCCTTCAGCACAGGACTGCCCTGAGCTTCAGGAAGCAGCGGGCATCTCCGCCACGGTGCCCGGCTTCCACTGCCTTCCAGACTGGGTAGGCAGTGCAGGGCTGAGATAGGCGCTGGAAGAGAGCTGGCACTGAGTGGGCAGAAGGTGGGCACTGTCTCGTGGAGGCAGTCAGCCTTCCTGACCACTGGGGGCTTAGGGGCTCAAGGTTCCCTGGCCAACTTGGGTTACTCCTTGGAGATTTCTGGAAGTGCCTTGTCTGCAGACTCCTTGCTTGTTTCTCTCCTTCAGGGACTTGGCGTGAACTGAAAGTCCGGGCTGTCCTGGATTCCCGGTTCGTCAGAAATCATTTTATCTGAGCACACCTCTGAAATTCCTTGTATGGATGCATCCTCCTGCTCCGCTGAAAGCTTTCTTTGTGAAGGGTCAAGACTGTGAACTAAAAGTGTTGGCCTTAAATGTGGGACCCTAATTTTCTAAGGGAAAATAAATATTTTTTGCTCTGTCAATATTTGTGAAAGACTAAAGTGTTTTTGGCAGTATGGCTGCTGAACCTACATACTTCAAGATGCCCCAGCTAGACTGGCAGCTGCCTCTGTCCCCTCTCAGCCCAAGTCACAATGTAAAGTCCTAGGCCAGGGTGTCGGCTTGGTCAAAGTGAGACTTGGACCCTAATGCCCTGAGGTAGTCAGACACTTCTCTGTGGTGCATCTAGGCACGCAGCGTGTCTCCGCTCCTGGGAACGATGGTGGAAGTCGTTGAAATTGTTTCCCACAGGGCCGAATTCTCTTTGAAAGGAAACGGTGGCCCCCGAGCGACTCCTTGCCTTCTGAAGTGGGAGTGGGGCCTGGGCCCGCCTCCCACAAGACCTCCAATGTGGAGAGGTCTGCTTCAGCAGGAAGGGTGGAGAGTCACGCGGTGCCCTTGCCGGAGGATTCTGTAAGAGCTGCAACTTTTACCACTGGGTCGGGAAGCTGCCGTTCTGACTAATCAACAATGCTGTTATTTTTAGCTGTTGGCAAGTTGGCCGCTGACTTATGGCCACCCTGCAAGAAACGGAAGGAAATGATCGGAGGCCATCTCCATGCGTGCTTGTGAATCAAACTATTGTGAATGTGCCTAAACCCCCCAAACCACTGCCATTGAGGCGGGTCCGACTCATGGCGACACTGCGCAACAGAATGCCACTGCCCAGTCCGGTGCTGTCCTCACAGCAGTTACGATGTGGGAGCCCTTGTTGCAGCCACTGTGTCGATCCAGCCTATTGGGAGTCTTCCTCTGTCGCTGCTGCTCTGCTGATGTCCCTCTCCAGGGACTGGTCTCTCCAGTACATGCGTCCAAGTCTTCCCAGCCTTGTTTCTAGGGAGCTCTGCATGGGCCTCGGGCAGTCCACGGCACTTTCACGATGCCTCCCCAACCCCGTCGTTCAAATGCATCCACTCTTTGCTCTTCCTGTTCTGTGTCCAACTCTGGCGTGCATATGAGACAGCATGGCTTGGGCCAGGTGCCCTTCCCTCCTCTTCAGAGTGAGGTCCTGGCTTTCCAGCACGTTCAAGAAGTCTCGTGCAGCGGATTTTCCAGTTGCAATACACTTTTGGATTGGCTGCTGCTTGCATGAGCGTTGCTTATGGAGCCAAGGACGATGAAATCCTTGGCAGTTCCGGTCTCCTCTGCATGGGTCGCAGTGTTTGTTGTCTGTGAGGATTGGAGTTTTCTTTACAGTGAGTTGTAATTGCTGTGGAAGGCGGCAGGTGAATGTGGAAACCTGTGGGATTCTGGGGCTGTCCTTGGTTACAGGAGCAGATTGCGGCCTCGCTCTCCCACAGAGCAGCTGGTAGGCTTGAAGCACCGACTTTGCGGACTGCAGTCTGGTGCTTCTCTGACAGGGTCTCCGCTTGCCCATGGAACAAGGACAAAGCAAGCATCAGGATTCTGGGTAGTAACTTGTATTTTTTCATCCACATGACTTCCCACCTGTGAGGCGGGTGGGAATGAGAAAACTTATAGAGGAAATCCCTAATTCAAAGTACCGCGTGTCATGGATGGTTCTGGACTCCCGTGGTCAGATGTGGGACCACAACCTCCTGTAAGCTGGGTACCGCACAGATGAGGTTTGTAAGCGCCAGCAAGTGCCCATTGGCTAATGTAGCCCTAATTACCGGGACTTAGAGTCAGGTCATAAGCTGCATAATTTGGTGTTAACTGGTCACAGTTGGAAGTGTCAAATGGCATGCCCAGAACGATTAATTATAAGGAAGCGGAGGTAACTGCTGATGAGGTACGGCCATCAGGGATCTAATTGGAATCTGGTGTGGCAGAAGGCGGCTCGGCGCTCGCTCACACCAACAGAAAAGCAATTGCCACCGGCTCAGGGTCCTCGGGAAACCCTGACTGTCAAACCAGACACCACCCTTCCTTACATTCCTGACCGAAGCTTGCGAGTCTTCAGGGGTAGCGGGGGATAAAATGGGTGGTAGGAAATGGGCATTGGGATTGGGGTCTTTGAGACCTGAGCTGGTCCTCACACAACGGGGGGTGGGGGGTGGAAAAGGATTGGGATACACTGAGTTTGGAGTGGTAGCCCGGAGGCCCCCAGTACCGATTCTGGGATTTGCACTCGGGTCATCCCCTCCCAGCGAAGGTGGGCAGGCTCTGCCATGCCGCTCCCCAATAGAAGAAGCACAGGTGAGGTGTGACGAGGTTGCACTGTTGGCCTGTTGAGGAAGTCAACTATGGGGGCTGGCAGCAGACAGTGGGTTCTGGCTATAAAGAAAGGGGGCCCTCGCCCCATAGTCCTCCACGGACAGGACCCTACCTTGAAAGTGCATCTCTCCGCCGACATCTTGACCACAGCCTGTGAGAGACCCAGAGCCAAAGGACACGGGACACTGCCCTGCATGCCTGACCCTCAGACAGAACCAGCGGGGGTGTCTTCAGGCGCTAAGTGTGGGGTGAGTTGTCACGCAAAGCAGTAGATAATAGAGGCTATTTTCATCTTTTGCTGGCAAGCAGTGTTACAGGTGATTTTAATATTCTTTGTTTCTCTGTTTTTAGATTTGCCGGTCTCGGATCTGTCCTCGTCATGTGCTGTTGAGTTGATGCTGGTTCTGAGGGACCCCATGTGACAGAGCAGACCTGGCCCACCAGGGGCTTGGGGAGCAGGTCACCCTGGAGCGGCTGGTGGATTCAAACCACCAACCTTTAGGTTCCTAGCCAAGTGCTTAAACATTGCACCACCAAGACTCCTGGTTGGATCTGTAATCAGGAGAAAAATCCTAAAATGTCGGATGACTTTCTACAGCTCCAGTGCTGTAAGGAAAAGGTGTCCTCCCTGTTCCGGCCCCCACTGCCACAGCCTCAGCCGCCCCTGGGTTCACAGTCACCTGGTCCTTGGGGAATCTGCACACGATGGCCTCTTCTCTACGGAAGGGATGAGCTCTGCCAAGTCGTCTGCAGGCCCACCAAGCCACTCTGCTAGCTTAGCGGGTGACATGTCGGTGTACTAACCATCAGATGGTCAGCAGTTTGAGCCCACAGGCTGCTCCGTGAGAGAGATGAGGCCCCTGCTCCCACAGAGATTACGGCCTTGGGAACCCACGGGGAGTTTCGCTCTGCCTCGTCGGGTCTCCTGTCAGTACAAGAGGTTGATAGGTGGGGACCTGAGAGAGCCTGTGTGCCAGAAGAAGCCAGCTCCTAGCACAATCACTACGGGTTTGGTAGGCGCAATTGTACAGCGATAATAAGTAAATATTATAGTAAAGTTATAGAGAGCATGAGAGATAAAAGAGATATATAGAAATAAATGGAGTGAGATACATTTTATGGTAGCATGCTCACCTCAGCCCCGCTTGGTGGTCCACGTGGAGGGAGTGAGGAAGAACTTTAATGCTCCCCAAGCTTTTATACTCTCTGGGGACATTGGGGACGTGCAAGCCCCCACATTACAGGTGAAGACATACGTCACAGGAAAGGGTTGTGCTACAGGTATTACAGTGATGGGAGGAGGTGATCTAGGGACAATGCACTACAGAAGGAGGAGGGATTGGGGGTGTACATGCGGCAAGATAGGCAGATCCTAGATTTCTGGTAGCAGCTTAACTTGATTCTGGGTCTCCATAGGAACCATTATCAGTTGGGTGTGAACTCCGCCCACAGGAATTAAACTAATGGCCTTTGGCTCCAGAGAGAAGTAGTCCATTGTCTCCAGCAGCAGGGAGCAGGCCCAGCCCTGCTGTGGGATGAGACAGCAGTCTGGCAACAAGTATCTGACTTCCCCCCACACCTGTGGGACAGTAGAGCTGGGTGGCAGGGGGGTTGCGGTTGTGAAAGTGTGGGTGCAGCACGGCCCCCACTGACTGGTCACGGCTCCCTGGGCTCGGTGGTTACGCACTCAGCTGCTCACCAAAAGGCCACCAGTTGGGACCCACCCAGCGGTTCTGGAGGAAGATGCGGCGATTCTGTTTCTGTGAAACCACAGGGCGATCTCTGCTGGGCCCACCGGGGCCTGAAGAGCCAGGAGGCACTGCGTTTGGGCTTATTTCTATACCTACCTCAGCGTTTGGGCTTATTTCTATACCTACCTCAGTCACGCTGTGGTGGCTTACGAGAGGCTGATGGGTGGTAGCTCCGCCACCTCCATTTCCAACAGGAATCACCCATGAGGGCAGGTTTCAGCAGCGCTCCCGACTCGAACAGGCCAGGAAGAAAGGCCGAGTGACGGACCTCAGCAGTTAACCAAAGAAGCCTATCACCACAGAGCATTGTCCCGCTCCTTGTTCCGGACATGTCATCACGTGGGCTAGCCCTGGAGAAGGGGAAGCCGAGGGCCAGCGAGGGAGAGGGAGACCCGCTGTCAGATGGATCAGCACAGTGTCTTCAGTAGTGGGCTCCTGAATGTACTGGCCCTCATAAGGCTGACACAGGACATGGCAGTTTGGTGCGGTTGGTTGTACATAGGGTGCCATGAGTCAGGTGGCAGTAGCTGCCTCCCTCCCTGGGGCAGTGGTGGTGATGATGGAGTTTTATGCATTCTGTGCCTACAACAGGGCAGGCACACATTTCATAAGCGGTAGCATCTGCACGGGAAAGAAGGGGGGATAGAGACCCCAAGGAGCATGCTAAGTGGCCTCCCAGGGCCCCAGATTCTCACTTGTCCATACTATCCATCTCCAAAACCCTTGGTGCCTATCTTGTGCTAGTTACCTATTGCTACCAGCTTGAAGCAACACATTTACTATCAGTGTCTGTGGGTCAGGAGTTGGCTCAGCCAGGGGCTCGGCAAGGCTACAGTGGAGGGGGAGGGCAGGGTTAGGGTCTTACCTGGACACTAGATTGGGAAAGGATCCGGTTCCAAACACCTGTAGTTTGCAGCAGCATTCACTTCCGACTGCATGCCAGATTAAGGATTTCCATTTCTTACTGACCTGTCTCGAGGGACACCCGGTTTTCTTCGTTCAGCGATTGGAGGTCAGGTATTTTTTTTTTCTTTCTATTTTTAATTGGAGGTCAG